GGGGGGGGGGGGGTTGATGAGGATCCCGTTAAGAGAAAGCCATGCTCCTGGGGCGTTTCCAAAGCCCTGGGGCAGATCTGTCAGGGCTCAGCCTCCTCCGGCACCTGGAGAAGGCAGCCCTGTGCTGCTTCCTGCCCCCAGAGCAGTCAGGTGGGCAAGGGTGGCGGGAGCGGTGCGGGTGTGGCGCAGGGGACATCAGGCTCACCGGCTGCAAAGAGCAGGACAGTCCAGGGCATCTCTCCTCCTGAGCTTGGCCAGGAAGTCTGGCTGAGGCCAGTGCAGCCCACAGCTCACTGCCAACTCCTCCTGTGAGGCCAGAGCAGGGAAAGGAGAACCAGGGCTGATTTGAACGAATGTTTCCTCACTGGCAGGAAGTTGCACACACACAGTTGGCTACTGAAAGGGACTCTCTCCTCTCCCCGCCCCTTCCACGGATGCACATCAGATCCTGGCACTGCTCTGCACCTTGGTGGCCACTGTTCTGTAGAGATGGGAGGAGGGACAAATGGCTAAGATGGTCAGGTGTGTGTGTGTGTGTACACGTACGTGTGTGTGTGTTTTCTCCTCCTGAAGAGGAAGGGCAAGGACCATGGGCTATTTGGGAAACCTATGCCCAAAACACAAACCTCAGCCCAACCAGTTCCAAAGTTGAAATGTATATTTGGGGGAAGTTGGTAAAGCACAGTGGTTAGTGTTTGGTCTCTGTGACCTCAGGCAAGATGTGGTCCTTCTGTGAGGTCTCAGTTCACTGCTCTGGAGAATGGGCCTAAGAGTAGCAGGTATTAGATCCAAGGAACTCATGGTATGAAGTGCAATGCCTAGAGATGTGAGTGCTCCCAGTTTGAGGCCACAGGCTCGTCACCAGCCAGGTGAGAGGGAACCCTGGCTCCCAAATGAGGAAATGTTACAGTTTACAGAATAAATTGCCTCCTGTTTACACCCCAGAAACTTCCAAATGTCTGTCTTACCAATAAGTTTGCTTTGGTCTCTCTAAACATTTCTGTTCAGGTCAAGCGGGTCTACCTGGAGGTTTACCCCAGGGAAGGATGTAAGCATATGTTCACTAAACAACAAAAAGGGTCATTACTGTGGACTTTTCTATTTGGATACACAAAACTCATTCCAATGTCAGGACCTTTGTACATGCTGTCTCTCCTTCCTGGGACACAATTCTATTAACTTGATAAAATTCTGGGGCACCTGGGTGGCTCAGTCGGTTAAGTGTCTGACTTTGGCTCAGATCATGATCTCGTGGTTCGTGGGTTCGGGTCCCGCTTCAGGCTCTGTGCTGACAACTCAGAGCCTGGAGCCTGCTTTGGATTCTGTATCTCCCTCTCTCTCTGCCCTTCCCCCCTCACAGTCTCTCTCTCTCTCTCAAGAATAAATAAACTTGGGGCGCCTGGGTGGCGCAGTCGGTTAAGCATCCGACTTCAGCCAGGTCACGATCTTGCGGTCCGTGAGTTCGAGCCCCGCGTCGGGCTCTGGGCTGATGGCTCAGAGCCTGGAGCCTGTTTCCGATTCTGTGTCTCCCTCTCTCTCTGCCCCTCGCCCGTTCATGCTCTGTCTCTCTCTGTCCCAAAAATAAATAAACGTTGAAAAAAAAAAAAGAATAAATAAACTTAAAAAAATTAATAAATTGTCTGGGGGGAGGTGGGAAACCTGGTAAAATTCCACTTCTGTTTCAGGTCTCAGCTTAAATATCGCTTCTGAGAAATCTTTCCAGATCTCTCTGGACTTAGAAAAATTTCCTTGAATTATACTACAGTGCATTGTGATGCTCTTTTATTAAACTTGGCATGTTATATTTTCAAGGAATTTGTCTATTTCATCTAAGTTGTAGAACTTATCCGTATAAGACTGTTTGTATTCCCTTATTACACTTTTAATGTCTGTAGGGTCTGTAGTGATGTTCCTTCTTTCAATGGTAATGTGTTGTTTCTCTTTTTTTCTTGATTAGTCTTGCTAGGGGTTAATCAGTTTTATTAATCTTTTCAAAGTATTAGCTTTGGGCTTCGTTGTTTTTCTCTACTTTCTGTTTTTGATTTAATTGCTTTTTGTCTTTTTTTTCTTTCTTCTATTTACCTTGTGTTTCATTGGCTCTTCACAGGTTCTTAAGATGGAAGTTTAGAATATTGATTTTAAAACTTTATCTTCGTGTATAAGCATTTAAAGCTATATATTTCCCTCTATGTACTGCTTTAACTGCATCCCAAACACTCTGACATATTGTGCTTAAGTAGAAATATTTTCTTATTTCACTTGTGAATTTTTTCTATGGCCCACACATTATTTAGAAATGTGTCAACTTCCAAACATATGAGATAGCTTACTGTTAGTGATTTTTAATTTAATTCCTTTGTGGTCAGAGGACACACTCCATATAATTTCAGTCCCTTGATATTTATTGATTCTTTGTTTAATGGCCCAGCATATCTCAATCCACATTCTATATGCACTTGAAGTGAAAGTACATTCTGCAGGGTTTTGGTATAATATTCTGTAAATATCCATTAAATTAGGTTATGGTGGTTTACAAAACATGCTTGAATTTATTGAATTCATCCAGCTCTCTTCCTTCCTCTCTTCCTTCCATGGTGCAGGGATGGGTCTGTGGTGCCTCTTGTAGTTTCACAATGCTTACCCCAGTGCTTGGCACACAGTAAACCACAACTCACTTTCTTTTTCTTTCTTTTTTCTTCTTTCTTTTCTTTCTTTCTTTCTTTTCTTTCTTTCTTCGTTCTTTCTTTTCTTTTTCTCCTTCTTTCTCTTTTTCTTTCTTCTTTCTTTCTCCTTTCTTTTTTTCTTTCTTTCTTTCTCCTCCTTTTTTTCTTTCTTTGTTTCTTTCTTTCAATGTTTATTTTGGAGAGAGAGACAGACAGAGAGACAGAGAGACAGAGTGTGAGTGGGGGAGGGGCAGAGAGCAAGGGAGACACAGAATATGAAGCAGCTTCCAGGCTCTGAGCTGTCAGCACAGAGCCCTATGTGGGGCTTGAACTCATGAACTGTGAGATCATGACCTAAGCCAAAGTTGGACACTTAACTGACTGAGCCACCCAGGTACCCCTGACCCACAATTATTTCTTGATTGTCTGACCTGAAAGCCAAAAAATATTCATTTAGTCTATTTTTATTGCTCTATCCTGGGTGTGTAGGAAACAGAGTTAAGAGAGATTCCTGTCTTATCTATTCTACCCGTTGTTTAGTGTTTCATCAAGGTCTCAGAACTTTGCTAAGTTCCAGGGACACCATGAGGAATAAAAAAATCTCCTGCCCTCAGGATGCTCAGAGTTTGGTTAGAGTCAGACAAGCAGACAATGAGAGTCCAGTTGAGGAAGTGCTATAATGGAGGCAATCACCAAGGGGACGGTCCTAACCTGGCTTCAGCAGGTTCAGGGAAGGCTTCTGGGAGGAGGTGTTATCTGACTGCAAAAGCCTGAGAAGGAGACAAGGGAAGGACACTCTAGGTGAAGGGAATAATATATGTTAAAGTCCTTGGATGAATGTTAAGGACTCCATCCTGGGAGCATTTAACATGGTGCAGGAATCTATAACCTAGAATTCTGAATTCAGAAAAACAGACACACTTACCTGTATTAGTCACAGATAGCAGCCATGAGAGGTACAACTGAGGAGTCATGGGCAGAGTGAAGGGAAATCAGCAAGGGATGCTGACTCCCCAGGGTCAGGAAGCTGTTACCACTCAGGCCTGAAGTTGCTAGGGAGGAAGGTAGTTGTGGAACTTGGAGAGGGCTGGAGTCGTGGGCTTTGGTAGAAGCATGCAGACCAACAGGGTGGGAGCCAGAATATATACACCTACACCTTCCTCTCCGGCCCTCAGATCTCCTGCCAGAGCCAACCCCAACTGGATGTGAGAGGGAAAGGCAGCTAAGTTGACCCGGTGTGTAGAGATCAGCCTCCAGAGCAGGCCAGGAAAGGGTGGAGAATGGCCCTGGGGTGGGGGTGGGGGACACAAAGACTGCCCAGCACACACTCTCAGAATCTTTTGGTTATAATTTCGGGGGATCCGTGGCCTCCAGAAGCTAGTTTGCAAACTCCCCATGGTCATAAGAGCCCCAGGCTGACTACGGGGCCAGTGCTACAAGGGAAGAGGGACCTTATACATGTGGCCTGCACAGCTGCTCCCATCACTTTTCTGACTACTCCCCTCCCTCCACTCCACTTCCTTGCTGCCCCTTGAGGCCTCGGAGTACCTTCCCACCTCAGGGCACTGTTCTTGTTCTCTCCACTTGCCTCCTCTCCCTTCGACTTCAAGTCTGAGATTCAATGCCACCTCCTCTGAGAAGCCTTCCCTGACTCCACCCAGGTGAAACGAGCCATCCATCTACCACCTAGCATTTACTCTTTAACGCCTGTAACTACCTGAAGGCGTCTGAGTGCTGAGCTTGTTTGAGCTGGCTCCTACATTGGGATGGCAGCTTCATGAGGACACGGACAGAGTCTGTTTTATTCACAGTGTAGACACTGAGCAAATACTTGTTAAGTACTTGGACAGGGGAGAGTTTTTGCTCAGTCGAAGGACACAAGAGTCACCCATTCAGGCCCCAGGTATCGGCAGAAGTTGCGGAGTTGGTAGCTCCGAGGGCCCGTCCTTGTGCAGAAGCTTTGACAAACTGAGCAAACACAGTCACAATCAACTTTATCTGAACTTTGGAAAACAGCCAAGGGTTTATGCCAACCAAGTGAACACTGAATCAAAATGAAAAGGAACCTTGAACGTGGGAGGAAAGCTCTGTGGTGTTTTCCCTACCCTGCCCTCAGCTCCTTCCCAGCATGGTGGAGGTCTTGAGGACAGCAGCCCATGTTCCCAGTATGGGGCTCCAGTACCTGGGTCTCTGAGGTTGGCAGTATTGTGTTTGTCCGTTCTAACATGTCTGAGGGCTACCTGTGGGACAGACTCAAGGCGCTTTGTCTGTTGAACTCAGAATGCATTCCTGGAAAATAGTGTAAGGCAAAGGAGAAAACCCACAGCCACCTGGGGCATAATGTTGCCACTGGGGACGATATTAACCAACGGTTTTACTAGCAAAAATGGGTTTATTCAGGAAAAGCACAGAGTTGCAACTAAGGACAAGCAAGCTGAAGCAAAAGCATGGACAGGTCTGGCGAACGAAAAGAGGAACACTCTTTTATAGAGGAAAGGGGGGAGTCAGGAAGGCTGTTATGAACAAGAGGTCCATTGGATTAAACTGGGAGTTGGAAGTGTAGCGATGTTTCATTGGTTGAGTGGTGACAGTGTCTCATTGGCTGGGCTGTTACCAGGGGAAGGGACAACCTTTTCTCCTCCTGAGGTAGTAAAATCAGGTAGGAAACTATCAATTTGCAAGGTATCTCTCTTCCTGTCAGGTCTGCAGTGAACAATGAGTGGTAGGGTGTGAGCATTAGCCCTTCTGTCCTGATTCCATCTAAAAAGTTTTTTTCTGTTTCTTTTTGAGAGAGAGAGGGCATGAGTGGCGGCAGAGCAGAGAGGGAGACAGAGGATCTAAAGTGGGTTCCGAGCTGTCAGTGCAGACAGAGCCCAATGCGGGGCTTGAACCCACGAACAGTGGGATCATCACCTGAGCCTAAGTTGGGCGCTTAACCAACTGAGCCACCCAGGCTCCCCTCCTGACTCCATTGTAAAGGAGGTTTCCTTTTATTAGATTTTCCCAATAGGCGTGCCACAAGCTAGGAGAAAAAGCTGGGGTGAGCATTTCTCTGGGTAGTTCGGACATTCAGAAGCACCCATATATCCTGGGGGATTTAGAAAGCAATGTGCATGCCCAGGGCAGAAGCGCTCAGAAAAGACTGGAGAAGTCTCTAAGCTTTCTGGCTCATCTCTAGGCTCAGCACAAACAGGAAGTGAAGGGCAAGGCAGAGTTGTAAATGCCTGAAAAAGCATTGAGGGAGTGCCCCAAAATAAATCCGGGGAAGTTTTTGTTTTTCTTTCTTCTGCTTGCTCTCTATAATATATAAATAACTCTTGTCACTCAACTACAAAAAGACAACGCAATTTTAAAACTGGCAAAGGACTTGAACAGACGTTTCCCCAAGAGATACAAATGGCCAAGAAGCACCTGAAAAGAAGCCCAACATCAAGGAAATGCAAATCAGAACCACCATGAGATTCCACTTCACACCCATTAGGATGGCTATAATGCAAATAAAATAGAAAACAGCAAGTGTTGATGAGGATGTGGAGAAATTGGAACCCTCATACGTGGTTGGTGGGAACACAAAATGGGGCAGCCACCGTGGAAAACAGTCTGGGAGTTCCTCAAAAAGTTCAACATAGAGTGGTGGCGCCTGGGTGGCTCAGTTGATTAAATGACCGACTTCGGTTATGATCTTGTGGTTCGTGGGTTCGAGCCCTGCATCAGGCTCTGTGCTGACAGCTTAGACCCTGGAGCCTGCTTCAGATTCTGTGTCTCCCTCTCTCTGCCACTCCCCCACTCCTGCTCTCTCTCAAATAAATAAACATTAAAAGAAATCAAAGCATGTGTGCCTGAATCCTTGTCTCAGGCTCTGCTTAAAAAAAAAAAAAAAGTTATATATGACCCAGCAATTCCATTCCTAGGTGTATACCATAAAGAATTAAAAACAGATTCTCAAAATACTCATAGCAGCACTATTCACAATGTCCAAAAGATGGGAGCAACCCCAATGCCCATCAATGGTTGAATGGATAAATGTGGAATATCCATACAATGGACTATTATTCAGCCATTAAAATGAATTAAATATTCATGCTAGGAGGAGGAACCTCCATTATGCTAAGTGAAAGAAACCAGACACAAATGGTCACATATTTCATTTACATGAAGCATCCAGAATGGGCAAATTCATAGAGGCAGGTTGGTAGTTGCCAGAGCTGATGGGGTGGGGGGCGGGGAGCGGATGACGTACAGGCTTAACGGGTACAGGGTTTATTTTCTGGCTGATGAAAATGTTTTGAAAGTAGATAAAAGTAGCAGTTGCATAACATTGTGAATGTAATAAATGCCACTGAATTACTCACTTTAAAATCATTAATTTTAGGGGTGCCTGGGTGGCTCAGTCAGCTGAGCATCTGACTATTGATTTTGGCTCAGGTGGGATTGAGCCCCCCATTGGGCTCTGTGCTGACAGCACAGAGCCTGCTCGGGATTCTCTCTCTCCCTCTCTTTGCCCCCCCAACCCCCCGCTCGCATTCTCTCTCTCAAAATAAGTAAATAAACTTAAAAAAAAAAAATCACCCATTCTCTACAACTACTTCAAAACGTCCAAGCGGCAAGTCTGAATGACAGACAATTGGGGAAGTGAAAAGAAATAACTAACATTGACTGTCCATGATCTTTGACGTAACCAAGTGGTGTTACTTCCCCAAGTTCTCCAAAAGCAGGAGGGGACAGCCATCAGCTGTATTTGAAGAGTAACTGTCACCAAATGCCAACCACTCCAAGGCCTGTCTTCAAAGACTCAACATTTCCGTCTAAACTTTTTTTTTTTTTTAATGCTAGACAGAATCATCAATCAGAGTCCGTTTCTACAGTGACTCTGCTTATCTGTCGGCTTCCCAGAGGGAGGTCGCCTCCAAACACTCTAAGCCAAACAGGGAGAAGAGGTGGGCAATAAGCCTGGAAGGTAACAGATAATATTTACCGAGAGCCTATACCGTGCCAAGCGCTAAACAAGCATTCTCTCATTTAATCTTCAACAACAGCCCAGTGAGATAGGACGAGTATCACCCCCATCTTATGGATGAGGATACAGAGGCCCCGCACGGTGATGTCTTCAAGCCAAGGGTCGGGAGTGGTTGGAACTAGCCTTCGTGGCTCCCAGGCCCACACCCTCTTCTAACTCTCAAGCAATCTGGCTGTCGTTTTTCTTACCCTGAGCCACTTCAGTTACTCTATTTACCTGCTGGTCCCCCAGAGTTTGAGACCGTTGGTGTGTAGGGAGGGCTAGGCCCCTGTACTGGCTCTACGCCAGGAAAAATGAGCGCTAGCCCAAGGGTTCCATCTCAACTCTCACAGCCGCCCTATGGGGTGGTCGTTCCATCACTCCAACTACAGACGAGGAAACTGACAAAGCGACAGGTCTAAGGAATAAAGGGAGAGACTCTACAGACGACACAGAGCCCACATCAACACTAAAATGTCTTCCTGGCCCAGTGGAATCATTTTATACTTGAGCCCTACGGATCGCGTACAGGTCCATTCCACCCAGACAGGTTCGCTCATCGGTGGTAGCGCGCAGCTTACTCTGGGAAAACTTCAGTGAGGGGCTTTAGAAGGTCCCGGCCCGCCTCCGACTTAGTTGTCTTAACTTTTGCCTGAGAAAGATGCACCATCATAGTACTTATTTTTGTCATTTTTTTTTTCCCCCATCATCGGTTGAGACTACAGCCGGAGGCCACTCAGGAGAAAAAAAAAAAAACCTCCAGATGATCGAGCGTTGTTAGGCACATCGGGCACTCATTCGGGCAGCTAAGCGCTCAAGGGGCCCTTCATTTTTCTCTTTGCTGGTTTCATGGAGCGGCTGCCAATGAGCTCCGCCGAGTAGCAGAAGGGGCAGGGCTAGCCCTTAAAGGAACCACGACCTCTTAGCAGACCGGAGGGTGACCCGGATGATGGCGGCCGGAGCGGCCCTAGCCTTGGCACTGTGGCTACTACTGCCGCCGGTGGGGGTGGGAGGGGCAGGGCCACCGCCGATCCAGGACGGCGAGTTCACGTTCCTGCTGCCTGCGGGGAGGAAACAGTGTTTCTACCAGTCAGCGCCTGCCAACGCAAGCCTCGAGACCGAGTACCAGGTAGAGGGTCCCAGGTTGGGGAGCCAGCAAACAAGCGGAGCCTGGGTGAGGGGGCGTGGCCAGGCAGCTGAAGCGAGGCATGCATTAGAGGGAAGGGGGAGGAGCCCGTGCGTAAGAGCGCGGGGGCGGAGCTAGGGAGCGCTAGCCGGAGCTGGTGGAGACGGCGTGTAGAGCGGAGGGGGTGGGAATAATGGCAGGAGGCGGGGCTAGAGTGAGACACCCAGAAGGGGCGGGGCCATAGGTTATAACGGGGAGCCTTTCACGGGGCGGGAACCTCCCGAGTGGGCGTGGCCAAGAGTTTGCGACGGCCAGAGTCGGTGGGTGTGACCAAGACGCGCCACAAGAAAGGGCGTGGTCAGCAAGAGGATTTCGCAGGGGTTGGGTTAAGGAAAGCTGGGCCCTCTCCCCTCATTTGGTGTGTGGCCAGGTAAACGTCGATCAAGGATTTACGACGCGGGCGTGACCAGATGAAAGAGCCAAACCCAAAGCGGTCATATCAATGAAGACAGAGCCAAGGCTAAGGTCTACCTGGGACAGGTCGGGCGGCACCAGGTCGCAGGTGTAGATGTCAGGGCTTAGGTAGCCTTCTGGTGATCTGTATGGGTCTGGCTTTCCCTGGCAGCTGCTCTTGGCCTACCCCTAGCCCTCCACCCTCTCTTACCTGCCCTCCCAGGTGATCGGAGGTGCTGGACTGGACGTGGATTTCACGCTGGAGAGCCCTCAGGGCGTGCTGCTGGTCAGCGAGTCCCGCAAGGCAGATGGGGTGCACACGTGAGTTCAGTCCCACTGTCTGCCTGGGTTCGGTTTCAGCCCTGCCCCTCCCCAGTGGCCTCAGGTTACCACCTTCCCTGCCTCTCAAGGTCCAGCTGGTGGGCCACTCAGGGTCACGTGTATCTGTGTGTCTTTCTTCCAGAGTGGAGCCCACGGAGGCCGGGGACTACAAGCTGTGCTTTGACAACTCCTTCAGCACAATCTCAGAGAAGCTGGTGTTCTTTGAACTCATTTTTGACAGCCTGCAGGACGATGAGGAGGTTGAAGGCTGGGCAGAGGCCGTGGAGCCCGAGGAGATGCTGGATGTCAAGATGGGAGACATCAAGGTGCGCTCAGACTGAACTGGGGCCACTCATCCCACATCTCCGGCTTTTGGGCAGCCGCACTCCCGTTCTTCCACAGAGGCTGGGGTCCACATTCGCCTGACCCAGCCTCCCTGGTGCCCCCACCTTAATTATGTTAATAGCAGCTCACAGTTAAAATAATACATTTCTAGGTGTAGGAGGGCTTAAATATCTCATGAAATCTCCGCATGAAGTAGGTAGTGTGTTCTCAATGCCCCATTCTAACTGAGGCACAGGATGGCTAAGGCCACGCAGCTAGCAACTGGCAAAGCGAGGATTTGAACCCCGGGCAGTCTGGCTTTAGCAACTGTGCTGTTGACTACTACTAAGTATGTTTTTTTACACTTATTTAGGCATGTAACTCTCACAGCAATTCGGAGGGAACAGAGGCCCAGAGAGGTCAATTAGCTTGCTCAAGGTCACATAGCCACTCGGTACAGAGAGCAGATTTAAGACTCACGGCAGCCTGGCCATAGAGTCTGTGATCTTAGCTCACCCCATTCCCCCTGGTTTTATTGGTCTCTGCTCCCTGAGAGGCGGAGGCCTGACCCTGTCCCTCTCTCTGCCCCACAGGAATCCATCGAGACCATGAAGACCCGGTTGGAGCGTAGCATCCAGATGCTGACGCTACTGCGGGCCTTTGAGGCACGTGACCGCAACCTGCAGGAAGGCAACCTGGAGCGGGTCAACTTCTGGTCTGCTGTGAACGTGGCCGTGCTGCTGCTGGTGGCCGTGCTACAGGTCTGCACGCTCAAGCGCTTGTTCCAGGACAAGCGCCCTGTGCCTACGTAGCCCCGGAAGGAAGAACGGGGAAAAGGGCAGCAGGGTACACGTGTGTGAGACGTGGGGGTCCCTTCCCCAACTGAGTTTCCTTCGGGAGGGGAGGCTATACAGTCAGGGCCGGAGGTGTGGCCCTCAAGTGTCCTCTCCCTTGGAGGGGCCAGGCAAGAAACACTTGTTGGCTTGGCTGACGGACCTGGGCCCTCCGGGAGGGGCAGCTCAGTGGCTGTACCTGCTCTCCTGGAAATGGTGCACGGACGGGGGCACCGCAGCATTTGAATGCAACCCTTGGGTATTGTGGCTCGTCTCCGCGTCCCCTGCTGTAAATGTGTGTGCCTTAGCCTGAGTCTTCCAGCACTGCACTGGCACTAGGTGTGGGATGGGGCCCGGGAAGCAAACTCTCCCTTCCCTTCCCTACTGGCCTTCTGAACCAGGTTGTGGTGGGAGGGGGCTTGCTGTTTGTGGGGCCCGTGCCTTCTTTGGTCTCCCCGTCACCCCACCAGAGGCCTGTTCCTGCTGCTGCTGGGGGTGGCTCCGGGCTGGGGGCGACCCGCGGACACCAGGGGCTGGGAAGGAGACAACAGTGCTCTTGCCAGGACAGTCACTTTATTGAGAGAAGGAGCCCAGCCCCTCAGCCCAGTGCAGGGGGGAGGCTCACTGTGAGGTCTGGTAACAGAACTCGAAGAGTGGAGACTGCGAGACCACCCGCCCCTGCTGCTTTCTCTGCGGGGGCCCCGGGCAGAGCTGAGGGGTAGCCCAGCCAAACCTTGCACAGGAGACTCACAGAACAAAGGGTGGTCTGGCCTGGGCACTGAAGTCAATAAATTATGGTCAGAAAATCACAGAGCCTGGTGATTGGGGCTCAGGGACACCAGCCGGGACAGACCTGGCCCCAAGGGGGCAAACCAGACAGGCGGGAGGGGTCTCCCACGAAGTTCAGAAGAAAGGTCGGGCGGGAGCCGATGGAGGTGGTCGCCTGGGCACAAGAGAAAAATCAGAAAGCAAAGTTTAACTGTGACCGGGGCTGGGCCAGGAGGCCTGGGACCTGAGGGGGTGTCCTTAGGACTACAGCAGTGGGGAAGGGTCCTGACCACTGCGGTTCGGGGTGGAATCCTCTCTCCCCTTAGTGATTCTGATGCCCACCCTAGGCCTGCATCCGGGTCTCCACACCAGTGCGTTAGGGGCCGCAGCCAGGCCCGTGTTAGTATGTGTGGAAGGGGAGAGGGGAACATCTGCCCCCACTCCTGAGGTGTTAAGGAAAGAAAGGATTTTCCCTTGAGAGCATGGTTGTCTCTGGAAGAAGTGAACCCTCTCGCCAAGAGCAGAGCCCCGCGAGTGGGGTGTGAGAGCCGGGGGTGGGAGGGAGGCCTGCTGGGGGGGGGG